CTTCTTACTTAACCATGAGATCTTATTTTAGCGTATTCCAAGAGGGATGCTTTTGTTCAGAAAAGTTCATTGACACTGTTTTCTGGGGTATAAGGCGCATTTTGCAGAGGCGCACGCGATAATGTGCGTGGAAGTTGTGGACACAGTAACCACAGTAGCGTTTTCCTGTCTTTTTTGTATAGTCAGAAATTGAAAACTTGCAGTTGATTTTCAGACAACTTATTAAATGCAGGTTATAAATATTGGGTGAGCAAACAAAAAAATACGTAAAAGAAAAGTGAGGAAGAAACATCTGCCGTTTGAAACGAACGTAAGGAAGCGCCTCAAACTCCAGAAAATGATGCACATATTGTTACTCTTGAATTCCATAAAACCTAGAATTTGAATGTTGAGAAAATGATGTAATAACCATTTCATCACCCTATGTAAGTATTAAATGATTTAGCGGTGAATTCGACCGGTTAGCTGCCGTTCATGCACAATTTGCGACCAGTGGTGGTGCGCATTCAGGGCCGGCATTTCTTCCATGGCATAGGGAGTACATTAAGAGGTGAGTTAAGTGAAATCATAGTTACGCTACGGCTTCGTTGAAGGCAGTGTGAGTGCGCTGGTTAGAAGATGATGCAACGGCTTGAGCATAATTTAGGAGCCTCAAGCCACACCGCTAGATTGTTGATAGAGGTTGCAAGTGCGCTTCCACCGTTTACGCTAAAATACCTCCCGGCCTCCTATCCAACGTAGCCACTGCTTTCAAAGAAGATAGCCACCAATTAATCTCTTCTAGGTTTGAAATCGCTTTGCGTCAAGTGGATCCTGAAATAGCGCTGCCCTACTGGGACTCTACACTCGATGAGAATATGCCTGATTCCAAGGATTCGATCATATGGACAAATGAGTTCATGGGCGAAACAACTGGTGGAAACGTTGTGGGAGGAGCGTTCCGAGAATGGCGCACATTAGGAGGTGAAGAGCTTCCGTAACATTTACTGAACTCTACTAAACAAGTTGTCAAAGACAAACATGTTATGCATATAGATGTTTTCGCTGCAGATGTTCGGGCGTGTCAGGGAGGCAGGGTTTGGCGCGCTGCCTGTTTTCCACCAGTTGCTGCCGCTTGCTCGCTTCAACGATTGTAGGAGAACGGGCTGACGCCTCGCTAATAACATCCCCTCCCTGAATGTCTGCAGCGAAAGCGACTGCACCACAGAGTGCATGACAGTCTAATGAATGTTTCTACAGTTACTGGTAGCTGTCCGCTGTTCACGTGCAATGCAGCAGCTATGCACATCATGGCGACGAGAAAATGCAGTAGTTCAGCATGGCCCTGCTTCCTTTCCACCGTTCCCGCAACTCCTTTCACTTGAAACGCCCATTATAACACACAACTTTGTGTCCAGTTCGCAGAAAATCTGTTGACTTTGATGAGATTCATAATGCACCCAGAGAGGTCTCTCCTCTCCGAAGTTATATCTTTTCGCATTATGCAGGCTTCTCCCACTAAGCCAGAGGCGATCTTTACCGACGACTAATATGGGGCTCTCTCGCTGCTAACCTTCTCAGACCGTGTTGTGTGGGTTTGCCAGCTGAGCGGACCTGCATATGTAGAACTGTACCACTTTAGTCACTGGAAAGCGCGTCGAGTTGAGGTCGTAGGATTCTTGTAGGCAGATGCCGTTTCGGACGTTAGCCACAAGCAAGCAAGTAAACGCTGCGTGCGCACGCCGAGCCGTGCGCCTAACCACAACCAAACGAACTGTTTTTGTGCCCTCGCGGTTACGTGACATGGTTGAACTTTTGTGCGTGGTCCTGTTGCGAAACCAAGTAACGCAGACAGAGGACAACGGCTGCCATAGCATCGCAATGTGCAAGAAACGTGAGAAAAGGAAAAAAAGGAAACGAAAAGGAAACGGGCTTTTTCAGGGGGAGGAGACAACTGGGTGGGTGAGCCACTTACTATCACGTATGGTCCACGAAAAGCTGGAATGTGCGAAGTCACAACGGCCATAGAGTGCCATGCGGACGAGAGAGTGCAGAGAAAAAGAGAAGATCGACGCGTTCAAAGGGATTGAGTTCAAGTTGTCCGTGGACCGTGTGCCTCATACGTTTGACTATCCATTCCACTTGTTCGTAGCACACAGGTTGCCGTGCATCTTATTCGCGGTGGGGCCTCGGCATCGATGCGAATACCGCACCTTGCGGATAGCGGGAGGAAGCCGAAACGGCATGCGGCACG